ATAGAAAGTAACTTTCTGAAAAATTTGAGCTATATTTAGCACTTAAGGTCTCTGATTCATCACTGCAATAGTATCGGTTTATGATGTCAGAAACATAACGTGATTTATTTTCTTGATGTATATACGTCGAAATAAATAACTTTTTCGCATGCCACGCTCGTATTCGGCTTGTGCACTTCCTCTTTTCGGTCCGTGTGAACATTAATAGATAGCTATAAATCTTAATCATCTGTCACGAAGTCCGTTTTCGTATAAAAAACGTAGAACACGTATAGATTATACTACCACGTGTAGATTATACTACCATGTAAATTATACTACCATTTATTATACTGAAATAAGAGAATCATAGACGGAGACTTCGGTACATTTTACCAATCTATTCGATCGAACACGAATAGCTGCGTGTAAAACAAGATAATTTATTTCAACGTGTGCTGTATATGAGAAAAAGATTCATGTAATTTCCCGATTTTAACAATTTCCCGATTCAATATTGTAGCAAAGAAGTTCGGGAATATTTCTACATTTAAAAATGTATATTCACGTATTTGTTTTGAGTTTTTTCATTTGCTCGAACAACGTAAATTCTTAAAAAAAATATATATATATGTATATAAAATTATGGGATCTAACGATACGAAAAGATATGCTCTTCAAAATTCATGAAGAGCTTTGAGAGCAAAATACATGTGTAGAAAAGAAAAATTCCCGAATTTTATTGGATATTTCCTCGCAAAAAGAAGCAGGATGTAGCTCATCGCAGGGGTGTTTCCGTTTCGTCTTACGGCGAATAAATTCTGCCGTCGATACGCGGCGCGCGGCGGATATCCGGTATCGCATCGGCTCACCCGGTACACACTTGGCAGGCTTATGGGCTTTTCAATTTCGTTCCCTCGCCGAGTGCGAGTTCCATACGGCGTGGCGGCGCGCGATAGCTATTGCGAGAGCTCTACGTGCACGCCCGTTGAAATTTTTCCGAGACGGCGTTTCGAAGGCCATTATGGCTTTCCCATTTCTTGAATGATATCTCGGACGAAAGCGCAATGGCGCGGGCGAGAGGATGGCTAACGCTATCCGCGAGAAATGGAAAAATAATTGGCCGGATGCATACGCCAGTCCGGGCGCATTTCGGGAATATATCACGGAGACCGAGAACCGCACCGTACGCCCGCGCGGCAGTACGGCGCGCAGTTTATTTCGCCTTTAGTTTATTTGCGGTTAGCTCCGCCGTATGTAAAAGTTCCCGGGTTGCCCGAGAAACGAAAATTTGAATTTGTTCGTATTATTGCCGTCAGATCGTTGTTATAATTCAATTACAAAATGTAACCTTAAAAAGCGATTATTGACCCTCGCGTGAGGTGTAAAATACACCCCAGCCTTAGGAATCTACTAAATTCACAAAATATATAATGTTTATTTTTACGAACGTAGATTAGCTTTAATCTCGGTTTAACTTAGATACTTTGTATCTTTTTTTTTTTAATTTTTAAAACTAGAAAAAGATAAAGACTGCATTCCGATATTTACTGTCAGTAACTATCAGTACTGAAAATTTATAGTATACGTGACGCAAAATATAGAAAAATATAGATTTTCAGTACATACTGACAGTAGTGAATATCGGAATGCAGCCTATAAGTAAGTTAAACTGAGATTAAAGTTAATCTGCATACGTTGAAATAGATGTAAAACTTTTTCATCGATCGAACGCTGCACAAAAGAAATTGTTTCACGATTAGAAAAAAACTTTTGCACTTACCTTTATGTAGAAAATATATAGAATATAATCAACCTTTGTTTAATTGTAAATCATCAAAGAGATAACAGTGAAAATTGCGATATAATGTTGAAGTGTAAAATATACCTTACGTGAGTGATTATGTTAAAAAAAAGTGCGAATAATACATGGCTTTAAGAAGATTAAATCTACGTTCTCTCGAACGTAGAGAGGGTTTTTCGCCGACGAACGGAAAACGTTCACGCGCGAAACGCTTTCGCGCAAACTTGCCGCGACTATCTCACGTAAATTTCAGGATCCGAAACAATATCACGTTGTATTACCGTTTATTGAGTCTTGACCGGAAGGCACTCAAGGAGCTCGGTAGCCACAATGGCTCAATGCTAAATTGAGAAAGTTCCGGAAAGTTTAATATCCCATATACTCCGCAGGGCCAGTCAACAATAATTCTCGTTACGTCTACAGGATGTACCAAAACTCGCGCATTTCCTCTAAATTATAAACATATCGGCGAACTCGCAGTTCCGCAGGTTCTTAGCAAGAACGTTTGATTAATCGCAACTTTCTAACGTTAAACATGAAACATCGTTATATTTAAGGCTTCATTAAGATTCTATCAAAGCTTGAAATTAAAATTAATTAAAATTAATTGAAATTTAAAAAGTAACATTCTACCATCTATTTGCAACTCAGTCTCTTTCTCAAATTTAACTAGCTTATTAGTTTCTGTTGTTAACTAACTGTGCAAAATCGGAAGTTCTATTATAATATTTTCCCTAAAGAATAATAAACTCCAAATTTATCAAAGGAGTTGCATAGAGGAATTTGTAACTGAACAAGGGGCGCAGCAACCTCTGATACACTCTGTACATTATGTGTACTAAAACACTACGACGCAAACGATCCTGTGGAAGGGTACGGGGGCAAAGTTTCTTAATAAACGTTGACGTCGACACCGCGTGGCAATTCCTTAAGTCGATACAGAAACCCGCTTCTATGAACTGACTAACGGATTAGAAACGGACCTCCGTTTTAATTAAGCTCCGCGGAAATATTAATCCCGTTAAAAATAGATTTTAGCTATGTTAAAGAATTTTGAATCTTACATTATTGGCAATTCAAATATTGAAAGAAGGGACGTTTCAAACACTTTTTTTTAGAAGCCTGACAATGGAAATTTTATTAAAGTATTATATTTTCGACGCTAATCAGTACATTAATAAATCCGGTATGAAAAGATTATATGAGATATATATATATATATATCATTAATAGCAATCACACATCTACAAGTTCTGACTAACACGACTTCTTTCCTTTTATACATGTGTAAGGCGAATAATCGAATGAGTCATCATATCGTGATACTGATATCAAATGCATAGTCATTAACGTTTCAATATCATATTAGGTACCTTTTTGAGTAAATATTACCGGATACGTATTTGCATAGTTTTTCCTATGGTTTTTTTTTTTAATGAATGCGTGATTAAAGTATTCCATATACTGTAGAATTATATTTATACGTATATACATGAATATATATTGTAAACATATAAAAATACAATAATATTAACATATATTTCTGTATATGCACTACCGTATGCACGTGATATAAAAATTAATGTTGTTGTAAAAAGCCTATTGGTATATTATGCAGAAATATTGAAAAAAAAAATCTTGCCCCCAGAGAGATTTGAACTCTCGACCCCTGGTTTACAAGACCAGTGCTCTAACCCCTGAGCTATGGAGGCTTTCGATTGGCACTTCTTTCAACACGCTAAAAAGTGGTAGGACGCAAGTCATATTTAATGCATTAAACCAAGATGTTATTTTAATTGCAATAGACCTCTTCTTTCTTTATTTTATAAAATAATATCGTCAATTTAAAAAAAATAAAAAAGATTTTCAAGCAGAAAAACGGAAAAATCACTTTAAAAAGAATCTATTAAATACATTAATTAAATATACCTATATGTAAGTACTTCCGTAACATTATTGAACTTTCATCGTTTTTTTAATTCTCTGTTAATAAACAAACATGCACAAAGTATTCTATTAAAATAAAATTGCTAGTTCTTTTTCAAGTCGTTTTGTGTTAGAAAATATTACATAAGTTTGTTTCAAAAGGATTCCAAGAATTCGAACAAAAGAGAATTCAAGTAAAACATCAGATTGCCTGGATTGCAACAAATAAAATTGTTCATTTAGAAAATCATAGCGTAGGATATTTCTATACTTTTTACAATACAGTAGCGTTTTACCCCAGTTTTTCCGAGTCAAAAGAATCCGCTAATATATTTCTCAGTACCTTTGAACCGCTTCTTTCGATGCTACGACTAAATATTAAATATTTATTTTAATATTGCATATTTATAAGGAAATGCTCGCATATGCCGCCACCATAAATTTGCGTGTTGACATTTCGCATTTTATTTCGCATCTACTGAAAACTTGACATTTTTGCGAAATTTTAAATCTGCTGAAGTGTCACGTTTTACTAAAACGATTGCATTTACTCACACTATCTCCGAATTTTTCAATTCATTAAACGTTTAGCCTTTATCTTATCGTACCTAATTACATCTGAAAGACAATGTAATGAATTTAAGCTTCAAGAACTCAAAGCAAAATGATATTTCAATACCGCAGTATATATATATAACCGAAATAAGTTTATTAAATGTAAAACCACTATCTACGTCATTAAAAAAAAAATAAGCGTTTTACTTTGACGATGATAAACAAGGCGTGATGTAAAACGCTCCTGAAAAACACCTTCCATCACTCGTTTTCCGCCAAATAAGCTACGAAATGCGGCGGAGGAAGTCGATGAAGGACAGCTCGTCGTAATGCAGCCGGTTCTATGTGCGCAGCCACTGTACCTTTCGCATACCTTGGGGAGTGCATCCTTGAGTGCGTTCGCCAGGCGACAAAGTTCGCATGCGCTCTTATCGTAAAATCACTATGTCGCCCTGTTTTAAGCTACCGACTTCGCGATGTCTGTGTAAACTTTAAGGGTAAATGAGGATAAAGTAAAATTTTACGCCGGCGCCGCCCGGATAAAGTTCAACTCGTGCAAAAGCATCTTTATTGCTACTGTTATTATTGAACGCATTATACCATGATTTCCACAAGCTTAACTTTATCGCGAAACGTTGTAAAAATCGACGGATGTATCTTTATACATCGTCCTCCAGTTTCTTCGGCGAGATCGGGGAAGAGGAGAGTCTTAAAAAAAAAAAAAGAGGAACTGCGCACAGTTTCGCAACGTAATTTTTTTACGACGCTGTAACTTTTTACACGCTGGAATGATCGTCCGGGGATTCTCTCTGCAAAAATGCGAAATAGAAAATTATTCGATAATAACGGCTAAGTTCGCCGTTTCGGAATTAAAAACTTTAGCCGCCGGAAATTAAGGCAAGAAACTAACGAACTACGTTCAAGGGTTGATTAAGTTCCGACAGGGCTAATTAGAAGCGGTCCGTGGGCATTCGTCGACTCGCGAAAATCGTGCTGATTTGATTAAGAGTATATACAACGTCACGTTAAAACGGGGGAGCGTGTAAAAAAGCGCAATCATTTTGAATTTATGCATCTACGTTCCACGGAGGAAAATAAATAAAAGGCGAAACGAATGCTTTTAGCCGAAGGTGGAAACGGAAGCATTTGTTTGTTTCGCGTTATAAAGCACGTCGTACGTTTCCGTTTGAGTAATCCTCCGTTTTTACTGCACAGCAATTGCTTTGCTTTTTCACTCTCAAGTTTGCAAGGCGTCTTTTGTCGTCGCTATCGCATCGGCTAACGTAAATCTGGTTACCGTTAACATATTTACCACAGTAATTGGTCTTTAAAACTTGTAATATATAATTATCGCGACGCGTGTATATTGCAAGATAAGTAGAAAGAGAGATGTACATTCGAAGTATACCGGGAAGTCAATTTAATATCGAAGTATTTACTTTCACGTGTATCGAATGTGCCAACGTTATTTATTTCCAACGTTATTACGACTTCTTACTAACAAAAAAAACAGATAATCTGATATAATCAAAAAAAGCTTAATTATTAAAATTTATTTATTAGTATTTTATCATTTCTTATTAATATTTCTTATTAATATTAGACACAGAGAACATATTAATATGCTGGCGAACAAATTCTCCAATCGCGTGGACTTTTTCCAACCCTAAACTCTTTTAAACGATCAATACTTTACTATCTTACTTATTCGCTAGATCTTATCTGTTTTGTACTGTAAATTGTAATTTGTTATTTTTGTATTCTTCTTTTCAGCATTTTTTTTCTGCGTCTTGCTGATGTTATAATTATAATTGTTATATGTGTACTGAAGAAGCTCTCTAAATCCCGATTTAATTTAATTCAATTAATTAATTAAATAAATATTTCCAATATTTTTGTATTGTTTTTGTTACTTAATTAATTGTGCTCGACACTGGTTGATCACAACTGATTGAATCACAACGCTAAACTGCTAAATAACAACGGCGTTTTTTCATCTGCAAGAGCAATCAAGTGGGAAAGAGAGAGGTAAAGAGTCAACATTTTATGATCAAACTTTTTTCCATCCTCTTGAACGATAATGCAAGTGCATTCCTTTGCATCATCCTGCAGTGCCTACTATCAAAATCCAAAAAGCTTCTTCGCCAAGTATGATCGCCCGAACGATTGTCTTACAGCACAATCGTGACGGTCCATCCCGCCCTAACGCGACGGTTGCGCGCCTATTGTCGGTTATCGCCGATAATTACCATCTCGCTTCTCGCACAATAAACATTCAATTACAAACACCGGCATAATCGATCATGCTCATAATCGCGCAACGCGAGACGAACTTATCCGCGACGATTACGAAGGTGCAATTTTCTACTTGTAGGGAAATTAGCATCGCGTAACGCGGACACGCGTGGCGCGATCAAGGACGTGGCATTACACAAAATGCAAATATGATTTTGTTGTTGATACGTTACTCGCGCCATCGCGCGCGACACGCGAGGTCGACGAAAGAAAAATCTATCAGGATGTAACGGGGTATGATAGACGAGTCTCTTTAATAATGAACGGACGGAGGTTTTCGCGTCCTCGTGCGCGCGAGAGAGATTACGTTATGAAACACGTGCGTGCGAGGGAGATTACGTATCTCGAAAATGATTTGGTTCATTCAAGTGGATTTATGCTCGGTGCTTTAAATCGCGTGTTTATCACAAACCGAATGCGCGGCACGTGGTCTCGCATAAATATATTAAAGATGCCGTTATAATGCATGGAAATTATACACGTAAGCTTCATTTTAATATAACACGTTTTAATAACAGATCTTTTCGCATAAATATTTCCTGGACAGATACGTCAAGACACGATTAACTTTTAAAATCGGTGACTATATAGTGACAATAAAGACCTTCTCACGGAATTAAAAGCTTTAGAAATAAAAAATTGTATTAAAAAGTGAATAAAAATAAAAATATATAAAACGAAAAATAAAAAAACAGAAATAAAAAATTGCATAACAAAACGTGATTTTTTATTGAAAATTCTCAAGATGAGCTTAATTGAATTACTTAAGCGAGGTTTTAATTTCCAAATCAACTGCAATACATATTACATATATTTGTATTTAGATAAACTGAAAAGATGCAGAAAAAACTATTTGCCTAAAGAGATATTTATTTCGTGCTCGTTAAAGCGGAATCCGTCATCACGATTGTATATATATTGAAAGTGTTATGTTACCCAATTGGGCAGTATCGGGAACAATAAAAGCGCACTAAAACACTCACCACCGAGTTCCTTCGACGGGACGACGACGTATCGATCCGGAGTTAAAAGTTTACGTTATCCAGCTCGCGCGCGAGTCTCAGGGTGACTTCCAGGGTGGAGGTGTCGTTGTGCCACTTGGCGGACGACGCGTTGGGATCCACGGGATGCGGCGTCGGTAGATGCAGCCGATATCTAATAGCGAAATCGCGACTGGGTTTACGCGTCGGGCAGATTTACGGCCTCGTAAAATTGCAAAGAAGGACGCGCTCGTGCCCGTCGGAATCAAACGCGACTCCGACACGGCGAACGAGCTTCGCTCTCCTTCTGTCCACGCGGGTCATCCCGATAAATTCTCGATCGTGGCCGTCTTACCTTGGACTGCGCACGTCGATCGCCTCGGATTCCACTGAGAGCTCCACTTCTTCCCGCGTTTCCTGGGGCAGTTTCACCAGCACCGACAGCCACTCGCAGGACGCCGTGCTCGGCGTTTTAAAGCCCATCTAAATAATAATTCGTCCGTCTTAAAGGCCGCGACTCACACGTAACGTGTCGAGCAAAATGAATTTCGACATCCCGACGAAATCGCCGGATTTAAGAGAGAACAATTGAGGGGTTCTGGACGCGGCGTATCGCGTTATCTTGGTCCCGTTTGCTTTATCGCGCTATATATATTTTTTTTCGACGGCGATTCTGTGTTTTTTTTTCTCCAGGAAAACTGCATACATTTTTATTTTCAAAACGCGATCCGAAAACGATGATATAAATCTTATTTCTGAAACAATTAAGTTAACATCTTATTGTTTTATTTCTCTAAGTTCTCCTTTGTTATTAGCTTTGAAGAAGTAAGTCAACATATGTAATCCATAATAAAAAATAACAGATTTTTTTATCTCGTCTATTTTATCTAAACTTATTCTCATAAATTGAATTTTTGTACTCTCAGAAAAGATATTATAGTAGGTATACAGGAATAGAATTTAAAATCGGATGATCGGCTATTTAGCGTGAAATTTACGATAAGAATATAAACTACGACGTACATGAAATCCTCAATATTATCCAAATCCAGCTACTTCGTTTGTCGGAGGAAAAGGGAGAGGCGCGACTTACTCCCAGATAAACGTCCTCCGCCGTCACTGCCTGCTTAAACTTCATCTCGTATTCGGGCGCCTTCCGGGGGTCGTAATCCTGGTGCGAGCTCCGAGTGTCGGCCGCCTCCGAGGGATGCCAAATATCGTCACCCGCGCCCTGTAGGGGTGCATGAGGTCCCGAACGATCGCTCGGGGAAGGGTCGCTCGGCGCGCCGATGTCACTTGGCCCTTTGGCAAATTCATTTCATTCGCGATCTGCGAAATTTGCGTTCCGCTCGGCTAATGACTAATAACCACGTTGTCCCGGAGAATAATGCACGATATAGCGTCGAACGATCGCCCGGAGGCGGCGCGCGAGCTGTTTGACGGCAATTTAAAAACGGATGTGTAACGATGATTTATAATTAACGCACGTTGCACGATTGCGAATTGAGAAATTACACACGAGTCCTATTAGAATTAATGATTGACAGCGCGGCGGGCTGCCTCATTGGCTCCCGCGATCGGATCGTTCATAAAACGTTACGTCGATAATATTACCGGTTTGCGAAGAGGAAATCAAAATATGCATATGAAACTCGCGGTATTATATGTTGCGCTCGGGTCTCAATTAGCCAGTTACCACATCTGTCATCCAACGAGAAGCGAGGGGGGAGAGAGAGAAAAAAGAGAGAGTGAGAAGAGAGGATGCAATCCTTCATAAAATATCCACTTAAGCAGCGTGATAAAAAATTCTCTTTCTATTTATCGTTGTTTCATTCTCCTCTTTCGCCGCGAATGCAAACAGAACATAAATAACCGGCTTACGAACGTACAAAATACGTGAATAAAAAATGCGCGCGTATATAGTACCGTTGTGTTTGCCAATTAATTTGCGTTCTTCGCTCGGTCAAATAATATCCCGAACAATACGTTGAATTAAACGTAACGATACAACGAGATTTGAGTTCGGGAGCCACCACCACGGGCTTCACCAGGCACGAAATTGCACAGGGGAAATTATACGTCGGCGTCGGCGTTGTCGCCGCGGCGCCGATTGTTTTAACGGCAACAATTTTGCGCCGGGGATATATATGTATATCTCAATAATTAATCAGTCGTAAAGCGTAAACTCTCACCCAACTTCCTCGCGCCCGCCTGCGGTAGATCGTCCTCCTCGTCGGAGTCGTCCTTCGGCGGGCAGATTAAATTTTGAAGCGCCTCTAAATTCCCCGGACGGAAACAGTCGTCCATCGCGGAATATTATACACGCGCGAAGGATAGCTCTTCCGTCTTCGCCAGGACGCACAGCCCGCAACCCGCAACAACAAATTGACGTCGCTATGGCGACGAAACTCGTTATTGCCGGCATGGCGGCATGATGTAAGGCATCACGATTGTCGGGATTCGGGATTGCCCCGAATGCCCCGATAAAGCAGTGTTATCCGCGATGCGAAAATTGACTCGGTCGAAAAATTCCACGCTCGACATCGCGGCGCGGCGCGAAACTATTTATTATCTATTAAATTGAATATGTAACAGTCGTCCCCCGTCGTCGATCGGAGAACAATTTCAATCGCGTGTCACGCGAGAGGGAAATAAAAGTTGCCGAATCGCGATGGCATCGCGGTACGTTGATGACTTTTAAAATTTAATTTAACTTCAATCACTTTTATCACACGTATATAGACGAGATGACGATAACGATGTTATAGTTAAGTATAATACGCGTGCAAAGATGTGCAACACGCGCGACAGATAAGGCAACAATGGCTGAAATTAAAAAATACGGCATTCGTAACGTAAAGTCGATGGAGCGTAAGGAAACACGGTAAGTAAAACGAGATAGTTATGAAAGAACAAAGGTGTGTATGCAATTAATATTCATATTCCGATTTTATATTTAAGATCGTTTCAAGTCTGGTCTCGAGATATCTAATAAAATAACCGCGCATTTCGAACTTAACTCTTAAGTCGAAATACGAAATTTTTTTGAGTATTTTTTAAATAAATAATGACTGCTTAAGGAATCTTAAAAATATATATATTTAAAAAATTATTTACTAATTTGAGTCCTCTTTTCATTCTTTGAATCCTTTTTCGCCCTTTTTGTCCTAGCGGAGAACCGATCGATGACGTGCAGAGAATTAAGGCTCTTTACAGATGTGCGAAGCCGCCGCGCGTTTTCAAACTTCACAAGGGAAAATACGCGGAGCATCGAAAAGTCGTTTTGCATATATGCAAAGCTGCGCATTTAAGAGTTAAGATGATCTTATAAGATCGGATTATGAATACCTGATTGATTTTAATTGCAAAATCCGATTAACTTGATCCGCGCTTAATTTATCGAGTAATGTTTATATTATTTTGTTAACGTGGATGAAATCAATAATTTGTTGCTTAATACATCACTGAAAAAAATAAATATTTTGGTTGTACCAACAAGCCGTATATAAAATAGAATTTCAGATTATTAAAGATTATATCGATAATTTTAATAGCTTGAATATTTGATAGACGTAATTATTTAATTATCGTATCTTTCTGGCTGAATCTCTACCAGATTTCCAATTAATTAATACAGCCAAGTTTTTTTTACCGTGAAGGAAAATTAAATTAGGACAAATGAATTTATATATAGAAATCTTGCCATGAGAGAAATTCTGCCGTTGAATTGCTTCATGTAGAATTAAATTAACCGAAGTTTGATTGCTTTCAAAGTTATATATATCAGGCTTCTCTTAATTAAATTTTATGATAAGCATTTTATTAAAAAAGAAATAAGCCTTTAAAAGTCTTCTAAATCTTCAATGAAAGATTCGGGAAACGTGAAAATATAAAAAAAAACGTAAAAAATTCTGAATTAAATTATACAATATAAAGAAGGGGCGCTTGCGATCTTCTTGCGTGAAATTTGAAATTTGTATTCCTGAAAGACTGAATGAGAATCTATCTGAAAAGAAAATCTATCTCGCGTATCCCATATGTAAGAAATATTCTCTTTAAGAACGGAATTCGATCTTACATTCAAGATCGTTCGAAATATGATTTCGAAAGGTTATATACGACCTTTAGCTAGATATGTTTTAAAGCCAAATTTAAAACGATCTAAAATACAAGGAGTTATCTATGAACCGGTCGGTCTTTATAATTCGTCTTTAATCTCGTTTGAAGATCAATCCGCACAATCGATCGTGCACAATGATGACAACAATTTGAAACACTTAACAGCTTCCTGCGGAAATTCCGTTCCGATCCACCGCAATCGCTGGCGGCGAGAACGGGACTTTACAGGAATTACAGGACGCACAGTGGACGCACCTCAATCGAGAAACCTGAAAGCTGAAACGTCTCTCGTTTCGCTACGCGAATCGCGTACTTATTCGCGTGTAGTCATGTGCAGTCTGACCAACGCAACGGTGCGGACGCGGCGGACGGTGTGAACGGTGAACGACGTCGGCGACGCGGGCGACGATCTTTTCCACGGCAGCTTGCCATCATGGTGGACGTCATGAGCGAGAAACTGTCGAAAAAGTAAGTAAAGTGCGCGATGTCGAACAATATATCGTCGTGTCCGTAGGATATTTGCCGTGACGCTCTTCGCTCGGATCGCCCTGGCCGCTCGCGACGCGCGACTTCCCCCTCGTGGGCGACCTAACCTAAAAAGGAGAAAAGTCCGACACATGTGGGCACGTCGCCACGCGGTCTTGTACATTGCTCCCTACATGGCTCGCATTTTCTCGCAGATAGCGATATCTCGTGGAAAAATCTAAGCGCCGATGAGCGCGTCACGTGGCTAAAATCTAATCCCGGGGACAGTGTTGCGCAACAATTATGTTCGGTACGTTAATAACCAGTGCTCGCGACGTCGTCGCGCGGCCAGTAGTGCGAACCTGGTTGGCGTGTCACAGGACGAAGTTGCGTCAGACGTTTCCGCGTCGGTTCGCCACTAAGTGCGTAATGAATCACTCGATACACAATGCAACCTGAGACTGAGAGAGATGAGCTGAGACGATGTCCTGTTTGCAGCGAGCTGAAAAGGCGTCTCAAAGCCGAGCAGAAGGCCAAGGAGAAAGCCGAAAAGGAGCAGGCCAGGACGCTTGCAGCGGCAGCTCAGCCAAAGAAGGATGTCTCTGCGAAGAAGGATATCAAGGAGGAGGAGATTAGTCCGAATGTAAATGTCGAAGTCTTAGCGCATAGAAATTTATACGGGGTGAAATTTTGCACCCCTAGAAGAGTACCGTCACATCTCAAAGATTCACCATTTTCAGGAGAGAAGAAAAACAAATTTAATTCAATTTTTTGAATTGCGAGATAACCATCGCAGTTACAATTACGATAGCTTGTTATAATGAAACTTGTACTGTTTCTTAAAGAGATCTGCTGTGATTCGCTTGTCAATTCACTATGACACTATTCATCCAGCGATTGCAATGTAACTAGTTTAAAAGAATAACGACGCTTCTGCCCCATGCAGCAAATTTTGCATATAGACTTGTGATATTGTAGCACGTAGGTAACATTTTAGGCGTAGTTTTTATAGGCTTAATTCAAAATGGAAATTTTTTGAGTTGTGACAGCATTCTTCTAGGAGTGCGATTTATATTAGGATGAACTTGTCTCAAGAAAAGCTTGCAAAAGAATAAAAGTCCTTTTATCTAGCGATTACTTCTTGGATTTTTTGTGATTCAGCAGTTCAGTTTTTGGTATCATACTTTAATATTCTAGATTCTTGAAATCTTATATAATGCAAGATCAATTTTCTTATTAAATCTTGAGCTAATTATATAAAAGATTTATTATAGAATGTATTACTTATAGGAATATTTTAAGCTCCGGTCGAATTGGGTCAATCAACTCAAAGCTATCAATGACAATCCTTACCCGCACAAGTTTCATGTATCGATCTCTCTCGAGGAGTTCATCGAGAAGTTTAGGGATACGTTAAAGGACGGTGAGATACTTGAGGATACGATACACCACATCGCCGGACGCGTCCACTCCATTCGAGAATCCGGCACCAAGCTGATATTTTATGATCTTCGTGGGGAAGGTGTCAAAGTGCAAGTGATGGCCAACGCGAGATTGTATGTGAATGAGGAGAGGTTTGTAGCGGACACTGCAAAGATTAAGAGAGGTGATATCATAGGCGTCGTCGGCAAGCCCGCGAAGAGCCATAAGGGCGAATTCTCGATCCTACCACTCTCTATTTCCCTTCTGAGCCCGTGTTTACATATGTTGCCACATCTCTACTTTGGTCTGAAGGACAAGGTGAGAAGTAAATTCGCAGAAAAATGCGATGATTCTTGAGCATATTGGGTGGGGGGGGGGATATTAGAATCGTTATATAATAATTCCATATAACTCTATACAACATGCAATGTTATGTAAATATATTGTGTGAATATATTGTGCAAGTTGCGTTAAACGCTTTTGTACGCAACCAGGAAACGAGATTCCGGCAGCGATACCTGGACCTCATATTAAACGATAAAGTTCGAGAAATCTTTCATACACGCGCAAAAATAATCGCTTATATGCGCAAGTTTCTTGACGGTATGGGTTTCTTAGAAGTCGAGACTCCTATGATGAATATGATCGCTGGAGGTGCGACCGCCAAACCCTTTGTTACCCATCATAATGAACTCAATATGGACTTGTTCATGAGAATCGCTCCGGAGTTGTATCACAAGGTATCAAATTGTTTTATTTCTCGAGTCTAAACTAATTTATTTCTAGAATAAAAGAAAAAATTAAAACACAACAGTACCGTAAACATTTAATAGATGTTGGTCGTCGGTGGAATCGACAGAGTATATGAGATCGGTAGGCAATTCAGGAACGAGGGCATTGACATGACCCACAATCCCGAGTTCACCACCTGTGAATTCTATATGGCATATGCCGATTACAATGACCTGATGGAGATCACGGAGAACATGGTGTCCGGCATGGTGAAGGCCATACATGGGACTTACAAGATAGAGTACCATCCGGACGGACCAGAGGGCAAAGCATATGAGATCGACTTCAAGCCGCCTTTCAAGCGCATCTCGATGATGAAGAAGTTGGAAGAGGTTCTGCAGGTCAAACTACCTGAAGCCGATCAGCTTAATACGCCAGTAGCAAATAAGTTCCTTAGCGATCTTTGTGAGAAACACGAGATCGAGTGTCCTCCACCTAGGACATCGGCGAGGTTACTAGACAAGGTAAGACATCGAACTTTATGAAACACAATGACTTTTTAAACTTGGCATAGTCTAGTAATTTTAATAAATGATATTCTGTACATATAACATAACCAAATGTGAAAAAAATTATAGAAATATATATGTTAAGACATTTGTATCTTCCAATTACACACAATAATATCAGGAATATCTTTTGTGAAATAGCTCGTTGGAGAGTTTATCGAGGAGACGTGTATCAATCCCACCTATATCATTGATCATCCACAAGTAATGTCTCCATTGGCGAAATGGCATCGATCCGAGAAAGGCCTTACTGAACGATTCGAGTTATTTGTTATGAAAAAGGAAATTTGTAATGCGTACACCGAACTGAACGATCCAGTCGTTCAGAGAGAAAGGTAGAAAATTAAACTTTTTGTTAAAAATTGGTGTCAGTAATATCAGTATGTTTTGAAAAATTATGTTATTCGTGAATCAGTGATTCATTCAATTTTACGATCATTTTACAAATTTGAATATTTTAAATGTGCATACAGGTTCGAGCAGCAGGCAAAGGATAAAGCAGCGGGTGACGAGGAAGCACAATTGGTTGACGACAATTTCTGCACAGCTTTGGAATACGGTTTGCCGCCAACAGCTGGTTGGGGAATGGGTATTGACCGATTAACAATGTTCCTCACCGACTCGAATAATATTAAAGTGAGTATATAAACTAAATATGTAACATATCTTCTAAAGCGTTCGAGATAGAAAATCAAGATTTTATGAAATTAATTTATTTGTCTATAACTAAATTATTTTATATTTGAGGAAATTTATAAGAGAAACTACGGATATCGTAAAAATGTATGGTTCTTTGATCTTTGCAGGAAGTATTGTTTTTCCCTCAAATGAAACCGGACGATCCGAATAAAAACAAGGAAGTTACTGAAGATGACAAAGCGTCAAACGATAGTGCAGAAAAATAAAAGTTAAAATTATTTAAAAGCTATATATACCTAAATATAAAATTGATGATTTGTATTTCGAAATTTTGAAGTATAAAAGTTATTTTTTTCAATCGATAATCGGTTTACAAGAAAAATACTTTTTATTATTAAATTATTTAAAAAGTCAAATTAAAATAAATTATACAAAAGGTGTTTTTTTATATGTATTATGTATTATATTTATTTGATACAACCCGACTACAACACATCCATTACATGCGATCAAATAATACATATATATATTTACAAAACATACGAGAACAATGCCATTGTATATAATAGAGTGTCCCTTGTCTAACATCACGATTACAAGCCATTTTTATATTCTTTATCACATAGATAAACGATCGAAATCACAAGATTATTAATCAAACTATTATTGAAATGACATACAAAATCCACAGAGTTAATCAGGAAATAGACAATGTTGAGAGGACAAATTTTTGCAAGTAAGGAACACTTGCGTATACTGAGCTGCGATCAAAACTCTAAAATACTTGGCTCACTGTCGTTCCAAGATACGAATTAATAAACTACATGATTCGAAAGCCTACTTGTTCGAAAAGTTAACGACCAAAGTTGATTCTCACGAGTTGAGATAAGTTAAAGAAGTAACTCTTACAGTCTTATCCTTTCTCAATCTAAATCAAATTACATCGCTAATTTATTCTATTGTCCGAGTATAATTTCGAAACACTATTTCGGACACTCGTCATAGACGTACTTAGATTTGATAGCCGCTTGAAATTTCGAAACGTGACAGCTACCAATGAACACGGATAGTATACGCAATAAGAGAGTAATATTCATACTTCAACCCTTGGAACAAGCCAAAGAACATTGAATCTTAATAAGTATTTGCATATTTGCTGGCAGCATGTTTATATTGTCTGATATCCATTTGGAAAATAAATATAATTCTAAATTTAATCACTATAATAACACAAGAGCTCTAAATCAGCTCACATCTAACTCGCCGAAATATTTATAATGGTCTGTACTGATATATTTAAGTAAATATATCTAAACACCTCTACAGTCTACATTCCCATCGCACGTCTAGCGCTAAATATGACTACCTGAAGCCCATTTAATATAGGAAGATCACAAACACAATAGTGTCTGATATATTAAGAACCGTTTCCTTGATCTGTGTTAAATCCCAAGTTTCGATATGATGAAGCATACATTTGCAGTATACAGAACTTTAGGATGTGATTATGTTTATTAAATATACAATAAAAATGTACCCTATAAACCTACAAAAAATCTATTTTCGTAGAATTTATACAGAACTTTCAGTCATGTTTAGTTCTAAATGTGCACATCAAAATATAAGTCAGTAAACTAGTTTGAATGACCAAGAAAATACATTTTCTGATGATTCATTGATATGTATCTTGTATTTTTAACTAACTAGTGACTGTAAAAAAGAATTCCTAAAATGTGTGTGACCATTAAGATTACATCTGATCAATAATATATTTTTATTACGTATTTAAAGTAGCATATGATTTTTATTTATAGAAAAACTAATTAAATTTTACATCGAATCCTTTAACAGTCACTGTACACATTTGAAGAATTTCTCTTATAAACATTTTATCATTAATAATCATCACAATAATGTAAAGTTTAGAAATGCATTTCTCGTCGGAAGATTAAATATTCTGCTGGCAGCTTTTTCAACATTTTCATGTATACTTATCGATAAAAATATTTTATACTATCTGAAAGTTTATATTAAATTTTTCACACGAAATAAATTAGTTTATTGACTGGCAAAACATGTTCGTAAATTGAAACATGCTTAATTCATCACGATTAACCCATCGATCAATAATAGAAGATGAAGACTGTTGTAATAAAATAGAAATAAAGTCTAAAGGAAACCTTTATCAGCTCTCTTCATCCTGAAGTTTCGTAACAGAATTGTAGTGAGCGCCTAACTCATACATATGTCGATGATAGGTCAATATTACCTTTTTGCCATTGCTGTAGTCGTCTCCAATGATGTAGGGAGCTCCTGTAGCTTGTATGACTTCTATTGGGCATTTCAGTATACGCGACAATACTTGCAACTGTAAGAAAACACAATGAAATGGTCTATAAGAAAAAAAAATGATGTGTTACGTTAACAGTTCATGAACCAGAGAGGAAATAATTACAGAATTAATTGGCTTATAGTCACATTGTGCACAGCCTACGAGTCTAAATGTATTTACCTCAACTGCGCCGCCCCAAGCACTAGTTTCAGCCACATCGTTGCAATACTTTTCATACTCGTCAGGTGTCAACAGATCATCGGAATCAGGATTGGAAAGAAATGGCAAAAAGTCATTCATATTTTCTCTCAAATAGTCAGCAGTCTTTGTTCTGAGATCGTGCAGGCTAAGAGGCGTCTCTCCGTTTATCTTCAGCTGATGTGCCACTGCGTTATACAAGCTAAAAAACAAATTTGGACATTATGTTTGGACAAACAAAGCTCAAACAATGTAAACTGTGATGCATTCTATTGTTCCTCTTTTTTTAACAAATAAATAAGGCTATATAGTTTATGATCTTTACCAGTGACCGTCGCTAGGAATTTCGTAGATCATTAAGTCGCGCTCAGAAAGGATCTTCTTTATGGCTTCTATCTCGACATTCCTTTTGCCGAAGACGTTAAGCGCTTCCTGTTCAATGATCTTCTGATTGCGTTCTTTCTCCGCGTTTGCTTTCTTCTCCCGTCTCTTCTGCGCTTTGGAGACCCTATGTGCCGACTGTTCCGAGCAATTGTCTTTACTAATTTCTTCATTTGCTTCTACAGGTTCTGTTTGTTTGTCGTTCAGCGTAACATTAGCCAGTCTCCGTGTGTTCAGCTCTTCCACGTGACGTTTCTCCAAGCTCTCCTCTAAGCGTCCTATCTCTTCCGTGATCTCTTTCTTCTTCTTCTTGTCTCCTTTACAAATAGATTTCTTCAAGATCTGTATTTGCGCTACGATCAAGAAAAAAAAAAGATTAGGCGCCCCACGTTGCGCAAAGACTTTAACCTCACAAATCGAAAAACGACCGAGGTTACAAAAACGTATTAAAAAACAAAGATAAAGGAAATTATCTGAATACCTTGCAGTTCCTTTCGTTCCTTTTTATGCTTCTGCATTAGTTCTTCCTCCGTCAACGCCGCCTCTGCCATTTTAATTTAAATATAACCTCTATGGCCTGCCGTGAGCAATATTCTGGTCGCGGGTCGCGCGGGAACACGATCCGCCGGATCCGCGTTGTTACGGAGAACAGGAAGCTGGACCGCTCGGCGCTCCGTCTTTCGCTGACGCTGACAGGACAGCACAGTGGAGAGGAAACGCGCCACGTGATAAACGTCAACGCGCGCTAACCAATCGTTTGCTGTTACGTCATTGATCCGCAGAAATAACTGACGTCATGAACGAATGACGCACTAGAGCCTGGAGCACCTGAGCTTGGCTTGGTGAATCCGTATATAGATCCGAGCTAGCTCCACTGCTGACGCTCGCGGTAATTTCGACTAAACTCTGATTATTTTAATCGGTGTTTGCCTTGTGGTACCCGTAGTATTTTGTTTGTTTGGACAGAATTGTAGCTTTTTGTTGTTTAGCACGTGGAAAAGTAAAAATTAGATCAGAGACGATGAGTTATGACTTATGAATTATGTGATCAGAAATTTTATTATAAACAAAATTCTACCATCAATTAACAAATTAAATTAGGAATTAAATAGGAATTATAGAAAGCAGGAGCACAAAACAACCTGATCTAAAAAAAAGGACAATAAATTAAAGTCTAAAAAATTTTAAACAGCTTTTAAAACCAATTTTTTTAAATTCTACATTAAAGCATATGTAAAATCATAATTTAACATTCTGAGTTATGGCTTATAAATTATGTAATCAGAAATTTTATTACAAACAAAATTCTATCATCAATTAACAAATTAAATTAGGAATTAAATAGGAATTATAGAAAGCAGGAGCACAAAACAACCTGATCTAAAAAAAAGGACAATAAATTAAAATCTAAAAAATTTTAAACAGCTTTTAAAACCAATTTTTTTAAATTCTACATTAAAGCATATGTAAAATCATAATTTAACATTCTCAAAAATCTTCGAAATCTATAGCTCTTACAATACATATCTTATGACGATATATCTCTGTGATAGCAGAGAATGCAAAAGTACGAGGTTCGCGTGCGACACACGTGTTAAAGGAAACGAGCGGTAAAAAAGAAACGAGAAAAATATAGATTTATCATTTATTAATATCCAATGAAGGAAGTGGAATACAGTTTTGTCCGCTAAGCGTCTCATCTCCATTATCTCCCTCAACTAGGAAAAGAAACGGGGTGCCTCGCTGCGGCAGGTCGGTCTCGGGGGTTGGAAAGGGGGGGTGGGAGGAGGGAGGGAAGCCGAGCCGAACTGTGATCGTCAACATTATATACATATATGTATATATAAAACAATTGTTACACACTAGAGCGAGAGCGCGTAATACAAAACAATGATTTCTCCGGTTAGTTTTATTACAATATGTCATTTTACGTTACGTCACTAATAAAAATATAATTCTCATTACCGCTCAGTACAATGTGATCGTCCGTCTCCAATATAGTATATAGTATAAGTAAAATATCTCTTGCAGTCGCTTACGTGTATCTACGGAGCGTCCGCCGAGTCGTGAGTCTCAGGTAGGGGGGCTGCTTTTAGAGTTCAACTTTGCGCAAGCGATTCAGTCCCACCTCTTTGTCTTTAATTCCTTCTCGCCAAACTCTAAAAACGTCCGCTTTGTCGACAGGACTGACAATAATAATAAAAGAACCCTAGTTAGCTATACGCGTTGCGCTAGATCATCTTTAGTCACGGCTGACTAGTTTTTACTACAGTCCAATTTTAATGATTATTAAAAAACCTTACCGTTAACTTTACAGCACGTCTATCTGTAACCGATCCGTAGCCTTAACCATAAGCGATTTGACTCGATTACAAGCTAATTATTTAGAATCACTTAGCGCTAGTTAATAAAATAACCAATCTCGATTATCAGTAAGTAATCTTAGTCACAATTGTTGTAACATTAGAAAAGAAAGCCCGTATTATAGTATCGTTGACGCGAACGATCTTAAATTGATCTCGCTTCGATGTCTCTCCTCTTCGTTTCGCGTCGTCGATCGCAATAACAAGTAATCTTGGATCAGAACTTTGGAAAGTTTCTCTGCGAACGATGTAAAATTTCCCGAAAAGCGCAACAGCTGAATCGAAATGAAAATTCCCCCATTCGAGAGACATAGGACTCCGCGGACACCTCGCAGGAATGCATATATACATATTATGTATATACACACGCACACAAATGTATATATGCATTCGCGTATATATCTCCAAGTTTGCAACTTGTATATGTATACATATTTTTCTCATTTAATATTTATATAATATATATGTAGACATCTGTATAATATAGAACTATATTCTCATGCCATATTACAACAATACAAACAGTCAATATTAATGATAATGTTAACTTGCGTAATGCAAGCACCACAGCTAGTATAGCAGTTTGAGCAATACGTAATGCTTCCTTGTTTCAGGATCGGGAGATTAACATGACGGATCATCGAGAAACATACGATGGCAACAAATTAATCTCCGTCACCCTCGTCGCGCTTGATTCCGTTCTACAGGGTGTCCCGAGAGTGACAAAGGTCAGGTCAGGTCAGGGTATTATCTCTTGTGTCTTTAATTTTAATCTGTCATTTATATGTAACGTAACTTAAAACTTGAATGAAAATCTTGAATTTCTCTTTTGCTATCTATGAATAATTAATCTCTATGATATTAATCTCGAATAATAAACTTAAAATGTATAAAAATACCTTTAAAATCTTTAAAACCTTTAAAACCTTTAAAATCTTTAATTACGAATGATAAATATCTTTAATTACGAATTAAAACGATAGTTTAATCTAAGACTTATAATGATCGAGATTAAAAGATATGCATATATTTCGTAATCTTGAAAATAGAAAGATTATAAAAAATAGAGGATCGTTAATTTTTGCTATGAAAAAGATCAAACACAGCGTGATCAACAGCGTAGAACACTTTCGGTATTCCGATACAAGACTCGGAACACCGTGTATAGCGAATCGCGCATGTAGGAAAGATTTTACCACTTTCTAACATTGATTGTGATAGACTTAAGCGTAATGAAACACCGTTGATTATGTCTCTCCTATTCATATCGGTGTGATTCAGAACTAAGACGAATCTTTTCCTTTCCCTTCTGTGTAAATGATCGCCGCGAAACTCGAAAATTCTCCCTAATAATAAAAGATCTGCGGATAGAGTCGGGGTAATGGAATTCCATATCGGGAATCGGCATCAATTCATCTCAGCTCGGACTCGCATACTTCTCTTGGCACGCTTCCCTATCATCGACGAAGCATCTAGCAGCCAGTCATGTAAATATGATCTCGATCTTCTGCTAACATTTATCCACGGATAATGTAATTTATTTACACAACATCTCTAACGTATTTACATCGCTAGCTACAGCTTTACGCGACTATGTAATAAGAAAGAAGTTAGCTTTGTACCGCTCGTGTATGTGTCGCGCGCGCGCGCCTATAATAATTTAGACATCGATGCTTCGTCTTATATGTAAATACGATACGTTTCCGACTTTCTCAACTAATTGTAAATACGAACAGTTCTCTCGGTTATTTTCAAGAATATTCCTGAATTACCGTGTCGTAAAAAAAGATTTAGAGAGGACAAGTCTATTAGCGTCGTCTATTAGAGACAACGAGATTTAAAAAGATTTTCTTCTTATTTCTCAAATTATTATTTTTACCTCACTCATTATCGTGTTCTTGTCTAAATAATTGCACTGTCATTTTTCAAATTACCGCATTAATATTGTCTTGTATCATTTTCTTCAAGTACAAATTATACGGATTATATATATGCCCTGTCAGCTAATTTGGTAATAAATATATATAAATAATATATATAAAATATATATATTCTCAGTATGTTTGTGTTCATGGGTAAATGATATTCGTTATAGAATATTAAATCTTCTTAGAATGAATAAAACTGTAAAGTTAAATGAATAAAACCGCGTAAGACAAGTAAAATCTTCTTCTAGTAATTAAATAAGTGTTACTAAGCATGTCCTTCATTTTACGACTGTCTTTCTTGCCAGCGATATGAGTCTCTCACGCGAAGAAATAGCCCTGGAAGAACTTGACGCGGACTTTGCAGAGCATTACGTATTACGTCTCTATATTAACATTTGGCAATGAGTAGAGTACTAACAGTTCTTACGCTAATTATCTCTAAGCGTCACAGATAACATTACGTTATACTTCTCCTTAATAACAACAGGGAGACTCAGGTAACAGTTTCAACAAGTTCTCATTCTCGGCGTATTATTCCGTTAAACAAAATTCCATTGATATTTTAATTCATCATATTTTTTTCATCATTCGCGTATCAAGAGAAAAAATGTACTTAGAATAGATAAGTATCTATAAGTGTACAATAAGATTACTGATAAATTGCAGTATAAAAATGACACAAAGTATATAAAAGATAAATATTGGATATCTTTTTTCATATAAGCAAAATTTTATTTATTGGAATAATACGAGAGACGTGCTAGTTTGTATAACAGAAGTAGTGTAGTAGGAGCTGTACAAGGATTCAAACTAATTGTAAGATACATGATTGTAGAATTAAAAATTTGTATATATACATATAATATATATATATACAATAGTATACATATAACGAAAGCTCGGTAAGATCAGATTGAGAAATAAATAAATTATCATATACTAGAGCCATACGCAGATAAATGAACGTAAATTGTCAGTCTAAAAATTTTCTGTCTGATTTCCTAAGACGCTTCTGTCATTTATTTTGATCATCTTTAGGTCTTGGTTGAGATGTACATTATAAAAAAAAACGAACGTCTAATATTATTTATATTTTGACAAACAAGACATTATTAAAATGACCAAATATATAGGTGTTTGTATCTTTAGCCGACGTGTGTTTGCACTATGACTTTTAGGTAACTTAATAATATAAGATAAAATGTGTTACCAGCAATAAAGTACGATTTAAAAATGAGATTATATGTCGTTACATCCATATGCAGGATATCTTGTAATTAACTAAATATTCAATCCACGGATATAAATAATATTTATAGTCACTATTTTTGCTAGAAATTTACCTAATGTTTGTTTTGATTTATAATGTATATTTTAACTAAAATGTACAGACTAAAAATGATAAATATGTATAAATGAACCATCGCGAAATACTCCAGAAATTAGAAAAATTTTTAGAGTGATAAATAATTTACGCTTTGCTCATTGCATCTACGCACGACTCGTACACGCTAATTTCTTCATTTAATTGTCAATTCCCGAGTCTCAAAATTTTTTAATTAAGGCTCGAATTTTTGGGATCTAAAATACATAGTATAATGTAAAACGAATAAACACGAGGTGATTTCCAAAGATCATTGAGAACTAGCACTCCGCGTGCAAAACTAAAAATATTCAAGATCGAGAAGGCTAAAGTACCTATATAATACCTATCTATAAATACATATAAATCTGCGAAAATAGATCAAGGAGATTTACGATATGAGGTACAACGAAATGAGACAACAACACTTATGTACGTCATCTATAGGACAGTAAAAGATCTATAATATGAGATATCTGCGAGACTGTTGCGTGAATTATGAATACACGGCGTAAAAATCTATAAGATCATCACAAAATATAATGATCTACGGAATAAAGGAACTACCGGATACGGAACCAAGAATCGTGTCCTTCCTTCACGAGCTACCGCCGCGATTCGAAGAACGAGCGGCAGCGTACAAATCGTCAGAGTTTCTCGGTTGTTGCTGATTGATGAACGCTGGCTGATGCCGATGATGCAGGCGTGACGGATGGGCCCACGCTCGTTGATCGTTCCAACGGGAAGGATGTCTTGCCCAAGGGTGGCTGCGAGATCGCACGCTTCGCCGTCCTAAAAGAGCTGCCGTTCGGCAATATAATAGTCAATAAACAGTCGTAAGCTTTCTTCTCGAGATAACAGAAGAACGTTTAGCAAGCTCAATCCTTCCCATATAGAGAGATGAATTTCATCTCAAATTAATTTTTTTTATATGTCAAAGATAAGTAGGAATAAATAAATATAAATATGTATACATATATTCTTATTAGAATAGTTTATATAAATATTCAATACTTTATATTATGCTAAATTATATTATGTAATATTCAATTATATAAAAAGTGCATTTTCAATTAGACACATTGAATTTTACTCTTATAACTTCGACATTGCATTGGGAAGAAAGGGCCTAAAGCGTCCCAAAGTTATCTTGATGAGTGATTTATCGTTGGCGCATTCGGCGTACTGTCATTCGAGTCAGCACGACTGACAGCACGCAAAATGCGATTAGTGCGATGGACATCGTATATATTGCATTCTCGAAACTATTCGCACATCTAATTAAAATCTATCAAATGTGCGACAGAAATGAATTGTAAATCAATCCTGGAAACAGAAGCTTCTTTATAATAACAAGTTTTCAAGAGCAAATTTTATTTATCTATTACATGAATGCGATAAAAATAGCATATGTACAATAATGGATCGAAAAATATCGACTGATGCTAGTTGAAAAGCGATTGGAAGTTAATTGGAAGATAGTTTAAAAATGTATGAATTAAAAACGTGACGACAATCCGGCAATGCCATATAAAATTATTAATTGGATTGTTTTCCAGACAGTATATTATGCAAATCCGCTTCTGTGCTGTGCGACGTGTGCAAGAAGCAGCAGTGATACATCTTTCTTATTCGCTTATCGTGTCTGGATGAAAGCACAATAATGCACAATAATTTATCCCTCCTTTCTAATATTTAGCCTGAAAACGATTAATGATCACTTGCATTTACACATTATTCATTACTGTTGTTGTTGTTGTTGTTATTGTTGTTGTTGTTGTTGTAATATAATGTACACATTATTTCTCGATACCCTATACATAGATAACATCAACAGATATCTACAGAATGCAAATATATATATATATAAAACAACAAATTCTTTGAAGAGTTTGAAATAGAGTTTTCCTCAGCAAAAATTTTATTAAATGTCATGGTAATGTCTCGCGCCAAGTGTACACGCAGCGAGACAGACTATGTATCTTTCCTAATTTACTTGACTTTTTTAATATAAAATATTTCTATATAATTAAACCTTACAATAAATAATAAACAAATATAAGGAAAAATTAATTGAAAAGTAATATTATTACATTTTAGATTTCTCTCAAGAACTCGTTAAGATTTTGTAGCTCTTAATATTTGCAGTTGATGCTCATTAAAGTTTCAAAACGAGGAGAATATTTTTTAAAACATTCTAAAGATATATAGACCATTTTTATATATTTCGCTTTGCATCCTGTGTAGAATAGTGTGCTTCGTATTGTAATTTGTAAAACTCGCTTGCGAGTGAAACAGATCGCCATTGAAAGCGGATGAATGAAAACAAGCGCAGTGGGAAAGCGGCGTGTTTTACACTGGTATTGTACATTGCTGGAAAAGCGTGACGCAACATATCTGTAAAGCGTTAATGGATAATGAACCAGATGCGTAGACGGAAGACACCTGTCCGCCCTGTGGATGACAGCGAGACAATTATTTTAAATCTTGTCGTCCTTGAATGGCATGGGGGATCGTGGTACTAAGCATTCAACTAAGCGAGACGATTCTGTACTGTCCAAGCTTCTGTTGTTCGATCCTAAAATAGCATAGCTCTGGCAGACAATTGCAACTATAGAAAAAGTTATAATTTTACACACAGTCTCCCTTATATTCCTCTATATATAATTACAAATTAATTATATAGACTTTGATTCTTCCGCTTCCACCACAAAGACTTTTTTTCTATTTGTGATGACACATGCGGGATGTCGGCATCTGTGGAATAGTTTGTTAGACGGAAATTTAGTAAGCTACACGTTACGTAGTTGATGTTACAAACTCGTCGAGTCTTCGCACTTGCTGCCAGTACTATGGAGAGAACCATAAGTAGACAAGCGAAAAGGGCAAAACGATTTTCCTCTCTATGGAGGTAGCAAAAAAACAGCTACGGAATAAAATATGTATAATTCGCGGGGAGAATTCTCTAATTAATCGATTGATTCGTTTCTACAAGTACGCCAAGAGAAAAGAGATCTTGTCAGTTGCCTAAATTCTGATCTTACATTTCAGTTAGTTTTTTTTTTTTTTTTCAGTAATTCTTGATACCGCTTTCTCGTTAGCGTATATGCTATCGTTTGTCCCATAATTCCGCCACCTATGGAATGCAAGATTATGAACGAACCAGAACCGCTCAGAGCGACGAGATTGTTAGCGCGCGTGTATCATGATTGGCACAGCAAAGTATGCATGATCGGGTGACAAGAGCGGCGTTTGCCTCTAATAAACAGAGAGATCACACGGTACATCCGTGAGTTCTCGAAACTTGCACATTCACATATATGATAATCGTGCACTGATGGTGTTTTCTGTAAATCTATCACATCCCCATTCGTGCTGTCTGTGGTCTTTTCAAGCAACGATTCAGCCTGATCTACCACCAAGGAAATCTTTCATCTGAGAGATCATCTATTAGATGCCTTATACATCTAATCTAATCAGAATCTATCGATTTTACTTGATTATTATGTAAACTGTGAGCGTGATAAATGTTCTACGTAAATTCTATCATGTTCTTTTCTTTCCAAAAAATAATTATACTTATTTTTAATACTTACAACATCTTAATACTTATAAAAGTATTAAGCAATGGTCTCTCGATCAACTCGAAACATTGTGGAGATTCACAACTTATAGCTTTTTGTTATAAAATAAAACTTTTAATTTTATCCATTTTTTAATTATATTTTTTGAAGAAAGATTACAAGATTTCTAATGTTTACTGAATTATACGTGATTTGAATGGATACTTAAAAATTCCATTAATTATGTATCATAATTAAATCCCTGTTATTATGTTTAAAATTATGTTAATAAAACTAGATGAAAAATTAATACTTTATATTACAATAAATTAAAAACTCATTCCTGTATTTTTAAATAATTATTTGCATTAAATAGACCACATTTTAATCCAGTTGAAAAGGATATTAATTATTCAGTTAAAATATCCTCCAATCGTATAAGTTATTCAGAATCCGCGACCCAATTTAAATTGGGATTAAAATATTAGAAGATATTAAGTCAGAATCCCGTCAGTTGAGAGACACGTAAAACGCGAAGCGGTCTAGGTGGTGGATCTAGCATTCTATGACATAAAACACTCATCTAACAAGTTTCAAGCGAAACGTGAGACGGCGGTTTACCTTCGTCGCTAAAGTGAGACCGGTTCGTTTCGGGGAGGATTACGAAAACAACTCTATTTCCCGGGCGTATCTAGCGAGCGGTCATAGAGCGAATTAACCACAGATCCTGGACATTGTGTACTAGCCGATAGGCAAACAATGAGTTCGAGCGTAGGTATGGCGACAACAGCTTTTCGCCAAGTAAGAGATAGAGACAGAGAAGTGTGATATTTAACTACGCTGAGACAACGCGACATATCCTCATAGCAGGTACCTGCAATCAAGAGACTGATCAGCGAAATTCGGTCGGCGAGCCTCCACTTTACTGACTAATAGACAGCGTGAGGACGTGGGCCGGTGCAGCGCGCGTTAATGGTAAAAAGATCCGATCGTAAGGGGAAAGCGAGGAATAGTGGAATGTTGATTACGAAACGTCGATCCGACCTGGCAATCGCGAAAATCGAACGTTCTGTGACTGCAATTATTCCTCTTCCTCGTACAAATGTCCTCCCCTCGATATAAGCCGCTGCCAATTTTCGCGATCGTTAAATGCTCACTGTTTCCGCATGTGAAAAGATAACACGATCTTGTATAAGATCTTTCTACCAGTAAGAGATCGCGCTGCGATATCTGCGATAGAGATTTAGGGAAAAGCGGAGGGCATAGGCGCCGACGCATTCCCGATTTGGATCAATTATTTAGTTAATTAATTTAACAAGTTAGTGGAGAGAGTTGGATTCAATAACAACGACAGCAAGCGGTAAGCTTTAAAACAGTCCAAAATGAAGATTGGACAAGGGACTACAATTTTCCTTTTTAATAAAGATTGCAACTATAACGAAACCAAGAAGGTCGTGACTCTCCAGAGGCTTTAAACAAAAGAATTAAGAATGCAATACTCATTGGTTGGAGTAAGCTGAAAAAACGATTATCGCGCACCGCCGGCGCCTATGACGATGATTAAGCAGTAGACGGTTATTAGATAGTTACCAATGTGAGTAAGTAAATTGTACGTAGATTATAGGCGTGTGTTAGATGTGAGTAAGGTAGATTTTCCGCTTTAAGTAGACGCTGTTGCGCGCCGGGGAGTTCACCGCTGTGTCGTTACTGGAACATAGCCGGTGCTCGTTTTCACACACGCAAAGGACACACACATTTTGCCGCTAGCCGAAGAGCTATGGCAATCCCGCGCGCGAACGCCGCACAGGGTGTCCTTTCTCAACCCTTTCTTGCCTGACCGTGATAAAGGTACAATAAAGAGTAGTCTGTGCCAAATTGGGCAAATGTAAAAAATTCGGCGTCATTTTTATCGTTATTTGTTATTAAATTGAATAAATTTTAATTTAAATATATAATTGCAGCAACGTTTGTGCAACCTTTCAAAGCACATATTTTCCGGAAGATTGAAGAGTTCATCAGATAGCTTCTTAAATTTTCATAAACGATTGTTAAGCCGACAATTCAAACCAGCAATTAATTTAACGATTACTACCCCCAGAGCGAAAGAAATAAGAAAATTGTCGCGTTTGAAAGCAATTTCAAGCAATTGGGCAACAGAGGGTTGAGAGGATAAACTCGCTCTCGTAAAGATGCTGTCTGCATCTTCCCCTTTGTAGCTTCGAAAGTCAGTTGCACCAATGTTAACGAACTAAACAGTTTTTCATTCTTGAACAATTCTGTGCCGATCTACGCCACTCACATAACACATCCGCGCGATAACTCGACGGAATCTATATTACCAGTTGTTTGTTGTTCCTTGGCGCAGAGACGCCTGACAGGAATTCCTCAGGTTACGAGGCTCCTTCCTATCACTCCTGTCAGGCGTATCTGCGCCAAGGAACAACAAACAACTAGTAATATAGATTCCGCCGCGTTATCGCGCGGATGTGTTATGTGAGTGGCGTAGATCGCCACAAGTTGGACAGAATTTTTCTCCTTCTTCTTATAATTACAATAAACTGTTGAACGTAGAGAAAAATGAATTGAATTATTAGATTATTTATTACACAAGTTGATACTGTTTTCAACATAGTACTATTCGAATGCAATGATATTTCAGAAAAGCTTCCTAATATCTACATATTATTGTGAAGAAGAAAAATTATAATCAAAAACTAAGTGTTGTAAGAATAAGCAGAAGTGATTGGTACTCTTAATTGTGAATTTAACAGCCACAACCACAGGTGCAATTGATTCCGGTACAACAGTAAATGCATAACTACAACGCTTTCAGCGTAACGAACAACAGAATCCGGCAAGAAAGATATTTGATCCTTTAGCGAAGCATGGGAAGATCTTTTGTTACGATATTGCCAGAATGCATTGCCAGAAAAACTCACCTTCGTCGACGCAGGGAACTATTCTGTCCTGGTAAGCCGAATTGACCCCTGGGGATCACCATGCGCGCGTTGCCCTGAGCAGGCCGCGAACCCCCGTGCACTTGCAGCGTGCTCAAATGAGCGGCATACCCGTCGTACAGTATTGTCGCCATAGCTTGATGCTTCTTGGATACTTTGCCGATGATGAAGATCTGGCTCGGTTTCAGGCTTATCGCCGTATATACGTTAATGTCTTTCTCGCTGCCGTACGCCTGATGTATTATCATACCGTGCTCCTACATCCAATTGATCATTATTAATTCGCTGTCAAAATTGTATCGTGTAGATTGAAGAAATGCGAGGCAACTGATCATAATTTAACCTGAATTATTTCCAAGATGTAAAAAAAAATTATTAAACTTTCTTAGCTATGGATTCTTAGCTTTGGATAAAAAATTAATTTTGAAATTAATAAATATAGGTACTTGTGACGGTGTAATGTATAAAATACACATTTTTATAAGTAGTCGAACATCCATCCAAATTAAACAAAACAATGATTTGTAGGTTTACTTGTTGATTAGAAAACGAAAGTATTAGCTGTCTGAGAATTGATCATCCATGAATATTTAATTGATTTATCTGGTTCTATTGTTAGCTGTGCATGCTAAATATATGTATAATCCTAGCAAGCACAAACCTTCACAAGCTTATTCAAGTAGGCGGCTTTGTGGGCGAGCGGATCTCTGGACAGGCCGTCGGCAAATGAGACAAGACCGTGAGGAAAATTATGCTGCGACAGCCAGGAAACTACTGTCTGCTGTTGCATATCGGGTCTCGCAGTAATATAAATGATGAGGTAACCCAGTTCCTGCCAATGCCTATAAGAAATAATAAAGAAAAATTTTACTTCCTAACAATATCAACTTTTTGCTTAAAAAAAAAGACGTATGTACATTTGTCATAGAATATATTTTTATAGCTGATTTCCAAATATAATTATGTGGCACCTTTTCGTTTAAACAAGTCGATTTTTCAGATTAAAATATCTCAAATACAGAAATGCCACAGAAAATATTTGTAAATAAAATTATTTCTTAATGTTATGTAGAAATTACGTTGAATAATAAAATAAAGATTCCAATCAACTACGAACACCTTATATGTACATTCAGCAAAAAGAACTTTGTGATAAAAACGAGAGTGTTAAGCAAGAATAATATAAAAAATTTTTATTTTTTAAATATTTTTGCATTCCGCAGATAAAAAAATATTCGCAAAATTCGTTCTAATTCGTCTTTATAATATATTACCTCACAACGTCGACGGCACCAGCCCAGACTTTCGGATCTTTACCACTCACCGACCTACTAGCGGCAAAAGAACCATCTATGCTAAAAACCACGCACTCAGTTCTCGGCGGTATCACAGCCATGAAAAAATCTACAGATGTATGATCTCCCCTGGAACGCGATTGAACATGCATTTATATTAGAAATTTATATTTTCTTAGCATTAAATAAAAAGCTAATTTATATTAATTACATCCTTAATTACTCTTACTTATTCATCTATACTTTAACTTTCATTCATATGACGTGAAATATTAATTTCAATTTTCCTCGATTAGTATATTAAATTATAATTTATTTTAATTATTAGCAACAATTTTAATCTACATGGATTATAACTTACATTAATATTTATTTAAATTTTAAAGAGGGAAATATATTACCTTACAACCATCTTTACTGGATAAAGTCCGTAACCTAGCGCTTTGTCATCTGGTATTTTGTAAATTATTCTACCATTTTTGTCAGTTACCTCAGTAGAGATGTATGTCCACTCGCCTGCCGGTGCGTTTTTCATAATATGGATATCAACTTTCTCACCTACGACGTAATGACAAATATTTTTTATCTTACATTTAATATCATATTTCACATTCGATTCGCGTTTCAATGTATAAAATTATTATTAATAATAAATGATAAATTAAGTAAGTTATTAATTAAATGTTATATTTTGAAATTGGTTAAATAGACCACTTATTATAAAGATCAGTTTTAGAAAAGTTCTTTCCTTAATTTTATTTATACCTGTTAAAGTTATCATATCAATAGGACTGTACATAAACCTAGCGACTAATACTTGTGGTGCACCTTCCCTCACGATGACATCATTCGCTCTGTGATTGGCAGCAACATTCTGAAATATGTCAATATGTCATGTCAATTTTTAAGTAACAGACAATTAAATATTATATTTAAATTGATAAAGAAATAAACCTTAAGTTTAACGGAGGTACGCTTTTTATTCCATTTTTCTCTGGGTTGACCTGGACGGAAACAAGTGAGATCTTTTTCCTCGTTGCCGAGCAATGGCAAATCGAATCTGCCCAATTGCCTCAAAATGAACGCGATCACGTCCGAAGACTCCCAATAACTAGCGTGGAAGAGATGCGGCAAGGCGTTTGTAGGAAAATTAGCGAGACCCTCTGGACAATAGAGCGCATAATCTAGTCTTTTGGTGCCCCACCACCTTTGCATCACTGGAACAAAATAATAAGCTTCGGCCTACTTCGGTATGCTTGACATTACGTAGGATAATTCACTCTTTCGATCAAAAAATTAACGCTTGCTTAGAAAAACTATCGCAAATTAAAACGGCAGTGTAATAAATAATTTCTACTTACGGACAGATACTGCCTGTAAAGGAACATTGTCGATAATGCCTGACATTGTACTTTGAAGTGATATATCGGATAATCTTCTTAAATGCGACATTTGAAGATTGGGAACATTCAATCCGTCAACAATCAGTTGCGGATTGGTCTGGATAGTCTCCACTGAAATCAAGTTTACAATCTACTTAAAATTTTTTTCTCCCAATTTTACCACAAATCTTGGAGAGTGGAAAATATAACTTCTATGTTCCATAATCCTATTTACAATCCTAATATACTTACGCAGGTGATAAGGCTGGCCATTGCCAAGCGGATACTTTTGATATCGGGCAATGTTGACCGGCGTGATCAGTGAAAACCTTGCTGAGATCAAGGGTTCCAATCTCGCGGCCATGGGATCCGTAGGATGAAACAGATTGTACATTTGATTGACTAACGGCTTGGGTATAAAACTATTCCTGTCGCTAGACGTGGCAATCTTTCTGTAAGCGAGGACTGATGCAAGCGGACTACCGAACGTAAAAAAATCACCCACTTCAAAATCCAGCTTGTCACTGCAAACGACACGTTAATAAAGACCAATTAATATTTTTATTAGTCATAGGTCAATTCTATTGGCAACATACTGTGCTTAATGTAAATAATTGACAACGGGTCGCGATATATTAATTTCCCTTTTTATTTTATTTTCTTAGCTTCATTTAAAAGAGTCATTGATATAATCATAATTGCTCACCTCGTGCCGGAAGACCTTCTTCTAGGAGATGGAGCGGTCAAATGCTTGCCGTCTTCGCCGTTATCATTGCCCTGCTGACCGCTACCTTCCAGAATGCTGTTCTCGCTACTGTGTCTCGAGTGCTGTGTCGCCCTGCACAGGACGTCATAGGACAGGATCGACCCCACCGAGTCGCCCACAAAGCAGATCTGCCCGCTGAAACCTTTACCCTCATCACTCTTGATAAAGTCATGGTACACTTGGTTGGCACTTATCACCACTCGCGACACTGCGTCTTGATATTCGGAACTCGAACTCGCTAGCAGTGGAATCGCGCCGATCGGGATAGTGTCGTGCGTTACTTGCGGAGCGTCCATGCACGAAGGCGACATGTCGAAGCTGTATGGGCTCAGGCTGCGCAATGAAATTAAAAGATTATAGTAACGTCCGTAGATTACATTCAAACGTAAACAATAGATGATATTACCTCGACAAAATTCCCAAGGCTTCGGTGCAGATGGAAGGACAGGCGACGAATTTAACGGATACGTGACCGACCATGCTAGGATAATGCTGTCTCATGACGGATTCAAAAGCTCCCCGGAATGTCGTAATGTCTGATTTTTTTGCCGTTAAATCGACATTTGCGTCTGGAATACAAAAATGTGATTCTGGCTCAATACATGCTGATACAGTGATTTTCTTGGTCAGTTCTTTCCACGTAATAAAGAATATATACAACTATATACGAAATAATGTTAACTATAATGTTAACTTTCTCAAATTAAAAAAAAAATAATAGCTTACGAATTATATAAATTAGACAAAGGTATTTACCTAAAACACTACCACCATGCACCACAATAATTAAAACAGTAATTTTGCATGGGTGATGCGTGGGAGAATGTTGAGGGGACGCTGGACACGACATGTCGATGCTGGCCGATGTGCTGATCTGCAATCTCTTGCTGCTTCGTTCACTGGTGATACGTTGCAGATACGAAGGCGAAAATATTGTATCTTCTGAAAATAGGAGAAGCATCCCCATTGTTACCGTCCACGTTAAAAGAACAATAAAGAATTTAATAATTTAAATTTGTTCTATGTTTTATCACATTTCAGAAAATAAAAATTATTTAGTAGACAGAAAATAATGCGATGTAAGTTTAATAATAACTATTACATTTATGCGTTATAAAAATATTTTTTAAAATATATTAACCTTGCTCGTTTGCCGCAGATGGTGTCCGCACAGTCGTGTCCTCCCCTTCTGCTAGAAGATCCAAAGAACTCCATTTAGCTAATGAAGAGCTATCTTCAAAGTCCTCTGTGTAATCAGAAACGTTAACACTGCTTATGCAATGTGCTTTCTTCCCGATTAATCGTATATGTTTTGAAACATGACTCGCAATAATATATGAATCAATATTAGAAAATACGATATTTCAAAGAGAGCATCTCACAAACAATAATAATTTTATAATAATATTTGTCTAATAATTTGCGATGTATAAATAGAAGCTCAATTGCAATTATAGATTATTCGAATTCTAGATTATATAGAGGTCATTTTGCATGTGTTACTCCGTCTAATGCAATACTTATGTGAAACTCTATCTAACGTATGCAGAACTAGTTAATTTTCGTTAGCCACTAGATCAGTTAAGTCTCTTTACTACGTAGCCATGCTGCTGCATGCCGCATGTGAGCCTTTCGCGGATTTTCATGCTCGAGTCTAATCTTAGTCGCATGTCACGCCGAAAGATGCAAATTTTGTATGTGCCAAACAGCTCGATTTATCGCATCTATTTTAAGGCCATTCTTTAATTATACACATCAGATGACATATGTATGACAACTCTCTCTTTCTTTTTTTCTCTCTCTTTCTTTCTTTCTTCCTCCCTTTCTCTCGCCTCGCAACTTATCTCGCTTATTATTTAATCACTCTGCGTATCCTACCTTTGCGTATAACAGGTATAATGAACCCAGCTGCAGTATGAAGGTGCGACATAAAAAACAAAGAGGTTTTTACACATAAAAACGCAGCACATGCTGTTGTTTCTACTTGAGTTAGCTACGCATTGTTGCAAGACACACTTCTTTCGCATAATTAACAAGAATTGGCAAGGGCTTCATTATAAGACATTATAATATCAGATTGCAGAAAATATTTTAGAGAATCTCACAAGAGAATTATTTACACATATACTATACAAAAATCTCTTAAGTAGCATATTTAAATATTTTCAAATAGGACGTCTAAATAATTTACAATAGATATGTTCTTTTCTCAAGATTATTATTCATTCTATGTTAATTAATTTCGACATTAATGAATAAATAATATTCGACGGCTCTTTGAACTCCTTGGAATATTTGGTATTTATCCTTTAAATAATATATCTTTTCGTTTAAACTGATCAGATTCGACATTTATAATGTCGTCTTAGGTCTTTCATTGATTTATTTAAGACTCATTAAGACTTACGACGGAAAGCAGCGTGTCACAGAATTATCATCCGCTATCATTCATTTATTACGAACCGTGTTAATGCGTTTTCTCTAAATTATCACATGCATGCTATACGTACGCATGCGTCGTAAGTCTTACCCTGGCAATCGAAGAACTCGTCGTCGCTGCCGGATTCGGACTCCCTGACGATGCTCTCCATCCTCCAATTCGCGATCTGGATGTCGAAGCTTTTGTTCGAACTCGGCGAATGCACGTTGCTCTTCATCCACTCCTTCTTGGCCTTTTCACCGGCGGCCGCATTTCTACAACGCAGCTCGCTTTTAGTCCAATTAATTTGTTAACACGTTATTGACCGGGAACGTATGACCTCGTCTCTCATTGCCCGAATGTTATTGTCTGACGACGAGTTTACTCGTGTTTAGAGCATACAGTTTAAATCTTCGTGCGAAGTTAGAGCTTAAAATTAATAAAAATGACATTATCATTATAGAATTTGTGATTGTATTTATCCTTCAATGTTTGTTGTGATTTGTTTTTTTTTTTTAATCTTTGATACACTATTTATCTTTAATAAATTTTGTATGCTTGTGTGAAAAATAGCATTACAGGCATTAGTTTTTGCTCGGTCAATAATGTGTTAATGCATTCAACCATAAATGAAATTTAATATCGTGTCCTGTATTAATACCACAATTATTATCACATTACTTTATCATGATTTAGAACGCAGTTTTTTATGGCAGTTATATAGCTGTAATCAAAGCCACAAACTACTAACCCCACAGATATGCGTGCATTCGCGATTATCTTATCGTTTTAAGAAAATAATGAAAGCAAAATAATATTAAACATTACTTGATACATAATAATAATAATAATAATATATAAAAATAAATTCTATCATACATAACATGCCTTATGGACAATAAATACAAAAATATAAATACGTAATGAAAAAATTTTTCCGCATTTTTACATATAGTTATATAAGTCGCTTTTCCTCAAAAGCTGTCATGCAATAATCAAACAAAAAATTTTCTTCTGTATCTTTAATTTATTGTCAAAAAAGATTATTTTCTCGCCAAGTAGATGCATTTATCGAGTGTTCTACGTTATTATACGCTGTTATTTTGTATATGTTACTCTGGATATGCTCCGACATTGTTTAAAATAACCAAAAACAAATTTCTGAAAAATCGGCTCAATCTTTCTTCGAAATAAAATCTTGATTGAGGCGGTAAGTTCACACACATCGGCACAACTGTTGCATTTTGCGGGAAGCGAATAAGATAGAATCGGGATAATCTTACTTGATTTCATCCACGTCGATCGGAGAGTCCTCGGGGCTGATCTCGCCCTCGGAACTGGCCGCCGTGTTAATGATGGGAATGTCGGACGGCTTCCTGATGGACAGCGGGCTCTGCGCCTCTTCGTTCTTCTCGATGCTGCCCAGGGTGGCCGCCAGGGTTTTGGCTACCGCCGATTCCTCCGACGTCATCGTCGCGTTCGCCGACGTCGCTGTTGTTGTCGTGATCGTCGTCGTTCCCGTCGCGCCCGCTTTCCGATTCTCGTCCTCGAGCTCGTCCTCCGAGTCACCCAGGCCCATCTTCCGCTGCAGCGCCAATTGCGTCTGCCGCTCAATCTCCCTGATGTCTTCCATCGTCAGACCAGTCCACTCATCCTGCCAGGCCCAGGCCTGCCTGTGCGCCCGCACCATCGTCTTCCGCAGAGCTGGAACCGACCTTAATACGTCTCACGCACGGCCGACCGGGTGCGCCGGTTAAAATTAACCCTTTCGATCACGACCTCTTGTGTATCACGGGGAGGAAGAAGCTATTCCAGCAACGGCAAGCGTGGCAACGCCCGATGTTGCGTGGACAAAAGTAATAACGAATTGATAATGAAATAGGCTACAATTCTGCTAATTCGAAGACAAAAGTCTTTACGTTAAAAATCTATTTTTATTTGCATGCTTCGACTTCAACAAGTATATAAATAAGCTACAATATCTAAATTAGTATTCAAAATTCAAAAGACGTTCAGAAAAATGTTAGAGATCAACGATAGAATTGCAATTCTAGAATTCTATAATAAATTTCAATTAATTTGTTTTTAATAAATACTTAAACGGTAGTTTAATCCACGATTAACTTGTAATTTAAAGCAACCTAAATTAAATAAGATTCTTTTTAACAGAACAAAGATTCATGATCGAAAAAGTTAACCCTTTAGCTGCCGGGCTCTTTGCATAAGAATTTATATCGTGTTAAATTTGGCAAACTCAAAGCATCGTTATTCATAAAAAAGCGAAACATGAACAAATACAAAATTACAATATACAGGATGCATAAAAAATTGTGCAATTTCTTTCGACTGGTTCTTTTTTTTTTTGTATAACTTGTAACTTTGCAATATAACTTTTTATACTACTATGTACTGTTTATTTTTCAATATTTAACATTAAATGTTTCCATTTTATACAAATTCAAAATCGATATTTCTGTGCTCACTTATTGTGCAATATTGAAGAAGAAATTCTTCTTCTTCTTTTTTACTCGTTCTAAGAAAATGCACAACTTCCGAGACACTCTGTATACCGAATAAGTGAACCCTTAGTTCTACGAAGAGAAACGCGTACTTAAATTGGCAGAGCTGAAGTTTCTCCAATTTCGTTTTATCCCGAAGGAAACAGCATGCGATATCTTTATTCAGAATTTTCAGAAAGACCGATCTCATTTCTGGGAAATGTTCTTCCCGGTAAACTGGCCCGGTGAAGGGCAGTCTCGCGTTCGGGATAAAAATGTCAAGAGTTAAATGCCCGGCATCCAAAGGGCAAGATAGGGCAAAAGTGGTGAGCACGTAAACGGTACTAACCTACGTCGTGTATGAACTTTTCTAATTTCGTTTGCATGCCCCAATAACGGAACTCTACTCGGCATAGCTTGTACGCGCACATTAGTGACTTTCCCGACGGCGTTGGCTGTTGCTTTCCCTAGCGAGAGAATCGCTAATGTATCAACGGTGAAACTACTTAAGCGGATAGGTGTAAAATTCTTCGAAAGAGATAGAGAAAGAGGAAGAGAAATGGGGAGATGTATACTTCCACATCGGCCCAATAATCCTCCAGCCACGAGTCCTCCAGCGGGCCTCTACCGGTCTTCTCCGACATGTACAGCTTAGGGTCCTCCTCCTTCACATAGTCCGCCCCGTACGGCTGATCCTTGACAATGTCGATCAGGTCTTGGGAACAAATTGTCGCGGAATCAATCGGAGTAAGTGTGACACAACCGCGTTATTCCTTAATTATTAAAAGTCAACAGTCGTTCATAACATCGTTAAGAGCAACGGTAAAGATTTTCTGAATACTCGGGGAATCATTATAACTAATCCTAGTTCTAACAAACAAGAAACCAACAATGAACGATCCTATAGTAATCGATAAATCGTACGAAAATTAGCGAACAACATTATCGAGAAATTTATTTGAGAAATATTGCGAGCATCGTCTATTGTTAAGACGAACATACATATTTTACGTCACGAAGTTCACGCGGTATTTTTACTTTCAGGCTCAACTACATCGCTGTTGAATGACGTGACAACGTCGTGTTCCGTGTTCGTCTAATCTAATCTAATTTCCTCTTTACCCACGATCCTGTTCCTGTAATCACTGCCGGTGAGATTGAAGACGTTCTCCTGGTGACCGTCGTCCGGAAAGTAATAGGTTTCGATCTCGACGGAGAACTTCTCCACGAACGGACACGTGTAGCGGGTCTTGGTGTACGGATAGGCGTTCCATGCTTCCTCCTTGGCGATCAACGCCGATTTGGGCAGGAGGCTCTTGAACCAGCCCGGCAGGTGACTGCCCACGTGATAGATTTTGTGTGTGTACTGCCCGTTACCGCCCGGACCGTTGCTGTACGGCTCGTTCTCGATTATCTCCACGCCGCTACCGGCACCCTTGCTCTCGTCCCGAGATTTTTTCTGCGCGAGTTACACAGGGCGAACGGTTATTGATCACTTAAGGAGCACATTCGCGTCGGCCATAAAATCTTTATCCTTATCTTTATCGGTGGAAGAACGCCCGCTGTCGCGCGGGCATACACGCGGGAAGGACGCAAATAGAAAGAAAAACCAGAGGGAAAAAAGGATAAGATAGGCGCAATAATCGCGAGGGACAAAAACAATATATAACACCGAGGATGTCGGATCAGCGAGCATTTGAATAATGTTTTACGCCGTGTTTTACGACGAAAATTAATCGCGTTAGAATCATTATTGACCAGTACGCATAATCTGCTTGGCTAATATGCATAATTTATTACAATTGACGAGTAATATTCAATGTTATTCTTTATCATAAAATCGCAAAACCGATAGTACGCAAATAAACTCTGCGGAAAATAGACAAGTTGAAGTAAATTGAACTTCTGAAAAGAGAAATTAGAAATTTACGGCTTCGTACAAGATAAACTCTCCGTAATTCGCCATCTAGCTTTCGTAGAGTCAGAATCTAGATGTTTCGCCGAAAATACGCGAAATGTAAATAAATTTCAATTAGCAAGTAAATCGAGATTAAATCGCTAGTCTCCTTTCTCGCGACACGCGGGCCGACGCGATGAGTTATAAACGCGATAATTACCGCTATCATGTACAGCTGAGCGATTCGATACTCCTCTACCGTGAGAGGCAACGGTATGCGATACTCCTTGATCAACATTTTGTTGGAGCCTGTCCTGTATCACCCGTGCATCTTCGCAAAGCGCGTCTCCCCTTCAGAGATACCGGACGCCGCCGCGTTCGACGTCTTCGCGACACCTCAAGAGATCTTTCTCGCCAGGAATCACGAGTGACGTCTCCATTTTGCGTCGTCAAGTGTAATCTTCTGCAAAAGTAGAAAGAAGATATTTCCATATCGCTTTACATCGGGGACGATCTGCATTTAAAATACCAAGCTACGATTGCTACGTAGATGGTACTCGAGAATCCTTAGATTTCACGCGTTCGTAATAACGGAGTTTGATAAAAGCTTGATAATTATCTCGAGGATAATGGCCACGCTTGGAAAAAAAGCACCGACGAAAAGTGAGTAAGTAAGACGGAGAAATAAAAGGCAAACATAAAAAAAGTATTCTACTTTTATAAGCATCATACTTAACGACAATTCGCATAAAGTTGAAATATCGATAAATATAAAACAATTGTATATAGGAACAAGAGTATATTCTTTCAACTATTGTAAAAAGATTGCGTAATCAAAGAATTGTTTAGAATTGAAAATGACGCACGCGGCATCAATTGTCGACTCGTTTCTTACAAAAAAAAAAAAGATATCGAAAACGAGGAAAATTGATAGGTACCGAGAATTACTATCATTATACCCGAGCTGTGCGCCGCTGGACTTTCTTTGATTGAATTAAATTCTACAGCTCTTGATTGCAGGGTACACGTTGTGGCGAACGCAAACCACGTCGATCGTATCGCAACTATCGCGCAAGTTGCTGTTGCTGCTTGCGCTCAGCGATACGTAAATATCGCATCCTTATTGACGCGAATATTTACTGTGTCGGAAACATTCGTAGTTCCGGCGCTTAGTCATGGTTAAAAATAGCAAATAACCATAATAGCCAACGCCAGCAATAAATTCATGTCTATAAGGAATAAAAAATTCAAGCTTGCCATCTACGTAATTGGCCGTTTTTATCAACATGTTCCGTGAACAGTATCTGTTCATCGCGATACAGGTGAGTATGGCCTTGGTACATAATTGATAGCTAAGCGAAATAATAGTGGATAATGTGCATTATTGAATAATGAAGTGACGTTTATGCGTATTTCGAGCGCGAGAGCTGTTAATTACATTATCAATAATCATACAAATTATCACGTAATTCCGATATTTTTAACTTTCTCTTATTTTTGTCAGATTGAATTATATACCAGAGCCTGAGGCAAACGTTTCTTAAAAAGAACACTGTGTTTCAAGTGCTGTTTTTGCGATATTGAGCAAGAAGACAATTCGTCAGTTTCATTGTCATTCAATTTCATTGTTATATAAATTCGTCAATTTTATACTT